CGAACCCAACGATTGCCACATGTATCATCGTCAAATGAGTTCACGTTGTGCAGTTGCGCGAATATGGACAAGTGTTTTTCGTTTGCCCAAGAGCCCCGTGACATAAAGTTAAAGTATAGCCGTGCGTCTCCGCGCGCACGTCAATTCCAAACCGTATTTATCCGAAGGGCGTCAAGGAAGATGTCTTCAGCCACGCGGGAATTCCAATGAGTCGAATGCGGGGCATTTGGGATCTCTGCGTTCGCGCAGTTCCTTTTTCTTGGGGGTCCAGTGGCATCGTTATCATCATCGCCAAGAGCTCAGCCACGCCAGTCGTTCTAACCATATTCAGCATATTCAGCATCGTTGTCATCGTTATTGTTGTCATCGTCGCCGCTTTGGTCACCATCGCCACCCCTTTCGCCCACCATCGTCATGATCACCGTCATCATCGTCATCATCATCACCATCGTTCTCATCATCACCAACGTCGTCGCCATGATGACCCTCGCGCCCGAATCATTGCTCTATATTGCCAGGATGCCCGCGCCATGCTGCCTTTTGAGATTAGCGAGCAAGCTCCTGTGAGTGAGTTGACCGTCGCCCGCTGTATTTTTGCCAGCAAGTTGCGGGTGGATGTGTGGGATGTTGGCTCGAACATGGGTGAAATTCGAGCAGGCTGGTGGTCGTGATGATATTCGTGAGGTTATTGGCGAAGATGGGCGCTGTGAGCGTGCGAGCGACGATTCAGTCCTGGTGGCGCACATGATGGTCGGGGGGTCCAGCGTCGGTCAGGATCGACATTGGCTTCCTGTTTAGTTGGACGGTGGAGTGGAGGCCTAGATGAGAAAGTGAAACCTGTACTTGCGCGGGGTCATGTCGCGTTGGTATTTTCGTGGGTGGTTTGGGGCGCGCCCGCGTCGTCCATTGTACCTTGGCCAATCGGGTAGTAATGCCAACACGTTCCAAAACGTTGCGCCTCCGCCGCCTTCGCATCGCAACCTGCGGAGGGCGACGAAAGTAGAACGTTGGCGATCCCGCTGGCGGAAACCGGCGGAAGGTCGTCGGAGGGCGGCCGAACCAAACGGGAAACGCCAACCTGTTTGGAGTCTGCGTTTCCGGAACACGCTACCATCATTAATGGAGGATGACGATTCATAAATGACCGGGGGTCGTGTTCACGCGGCGGCGCCCGGGATGACGATTAGAAAAAACCGGCCGCAGGCTGGAAAACTATTTTTTCAATAGTTCTCCCCCAGTCAGAAAATTATGCAGAAATAGCAGGCAACAATTTTTCCATCGTTCTCTCCAATTTTTTACTTATCGTCATCCCGCATCACTTTGGCATCTTCCACCTTCCCCCATCCATGGGCTGCAGGTTGCGGTCTCCTGCCTGCCCCGCCCTCGTAGTGGCGTGGCTTTGTGTCTACCCGGGGCCTGCGCCGGCCGACGTCCGAGGTCGGAAGCTGGAAGATACACACTACCAGTGGCGGGCTGCTTTTCCATCCCGGGACTTCTGAGGGTCAAGGACGACGTCCGCGCGGCGCGGTGTATTCTTCGGGGGCGGAAAAGCGGGGGGTGAGGACTGGCGGGGGGTGGATGTCGTGGCGGGGGCCATGATATTTTCCCAGATCTCATGGCGCCTCTTCTTATTTCATCACGTCCCTGGCCCCCCCGCTGGGCCGCGCACGTGCCGCCGGTCATGATTTGCACCCCAGCCTCTTGGACACCCCCCTCTTGGCCGCTCCCGAGGTGTATTCGTGTACTTTCTCTTGTCCCGGGGAAGCAACGAAAAATCCATACACCAGGAACCCGTCTACACACCAGGATCCGGATCCCAGTGCGAACTTCCGTGCAGAGCCCGAAGAGTCGTCGGTGCATGGAGTTCGGTCCCCCACTAGAGGAGCTCGCCGCTGACCTTGCTGACCGACCTCGGAACGCGGCCTGGAACCGGTCTCCAATCTGCGGCTGTTGCGGCACTTCGCCCCCGCGGCACTCAGGGACGATACGGCTCCGTGCCCCCAGGGGCGGCGCAGAAGCGGAGCCTGCGCAGCTGGCGCAGGCCGCCGGTTCGCTCGTCTGCCACCCTTGCGTTTCCGCTTGTCGTGTCGCGCGGGGGCTCTCAATGCAGCCGCAAGAGCTCCCCCTGAAACTTGTGTTTCGGCAACAACTCATGGGAGCCCCGCGTGCCCTCACAATGCAGTTTCTAGCGTCGATTTGCGTCGACCGAAGTCTGGTCGTCGATGGTGTAGCGCCGATTTAGCGTCGGCTAGCGTCGATCAGCGCTGAGTATACATAGAACGGCGCACCGGGCCCGGGGGCCGAAGGCCAGAACCTCGACCGCAAATGTGGGCCCCGGGGCTTGGGCCCGCCTCAGGGAAGCTTAAAATCGCCCCGGGGAGTCAGACAGCAATCCCGGCGGCCCCAAACGGTGTCGAGACATCCCCAAGACGCCGCCCAGGGGTCTTTAGCGACGCGCGATGCGTTAAAAATTGCCCCAGAGGCCCCCAAGACGCCTCAA